TATTCAAAAAACCTATAGCCGTTGAAATGATTCTGATCATGAATAGCATGGCAACGGATCGATAGATGAAGTTCATGATCAGATAGCAAGAATGATTGGTAGCAGATGCCACCAAGATAACATAAAATAGATTGCAGGATTTTTCCAACACTCGGGTTTCATTGCCTCATCATGTAATATTAGCCAGTGATGTTAATGATCTGAATATTATGGCCAACTTTATTTTAAAAAAGTAAGATATCAATTGGAAGTATGAAACTACAACCACTGAAAGAACTAATGATCTTTCGTTGTGGGGAAATAGTGCAAAATTTCTAGTCATCGTATTTCAAATTGTAAATGCAAAACAATTTCTGATATTTGTGCGTGATAATATTGACACTGAAATATACAGTAGACCGATATGAATATAATACAATGTATTTGCAAAAGCGTTCTTACAAAGAAGCACAAGGAACTTAATAAAGATCTCCTGAAAGCTGCAACACTAACGATTGAAAAATTTGACAAAGGATCAGGATTCGTTCTTCTTAATAAGAATGACTGCATTGATAAAGTGAATATCATATTGGATGACAAATTAATGTACAAGTTTATCCAAGTTAATATTACTGTTCAGTCATCTCGACATCAGAAATTATATTTTATTTTACAATTCTAAATACACGTACTTACTTACTTAGGCCTGTTACTCCTAGGGGAGGAGCATAGGCTACTGACCACGATTCTTCAATCTGCTCTGTCATGGGTAATTCTTTCCACTCGTTCTCAGTTGTTATCCATTCTTTTAATGTCTGTTTCTGATTCTCAGTATGTGTCCTTTGGTCTTGTTCTTTTCCTTTCGCCTTCAGGATTCCAAGTTAGCGCTTGCTCATTGGTACAGTTTTATGATTTCATCAATGTGCGTCCTATCCACCTTCAGTGTCTTTACCTAAACGATGTATTTTGCCCTAAACTTGGCCACTTTCTAGGATTATTAATTTGGATATATAATCGTTAAATCTGAAGTGAATTTATTAAAAGAATATTCTTCGTTTATATATTTGTGTTCTAATATGATGGGGATTTTCAAACAATTAAAAATAAATTCATTTTCATTATTTTAATGAACTGTTAACTGATTGCGAGCATTATCTAGCTACCGTACACCTTATATCATCTATATAACCATTTAGTTACTATTTTAATTAATATCAGATTTTGTCTCGTTCTTCCTAGCCAAAATATCAATATCAGCTATATTTTTAATGCACTTCCAAACTCATTCAAACTGTTTCCGATCAAATCAATTTAACTATAAGCCTTTGGACTACTACTTTTATTACTTCTTATACCTTATATTCATGTAAACGATCATGTAGTTGACATCCTGTCAAATCAATGTATGATAGCATTATCAATTGTTTAATTTAAAAATTGTGTATCTTATGATTTAAGCATAACATGGATAACTTCATAACCTAAATGTCAGTTAATTTTACAAATTATTTTTGAATCGCAACAGTGTACTTCTTTTTTTTATTTATTCATAATCAATAACAGGTCACAAAATGTGCTCTATTCATTTCTTCTTGACATATATTTCAAAATAATAAAAAGACATTGTGTTTAAATCATTTCCATCTGAAAAAAATATCTTTGTTGAAATGGAGTTTTTTAAAAATATTCAGAAGATAGATAGTGGCTAACAATGGAATCCAGGACGAACGTTTCGTTTTATTTGGAACTCGTCAGCTGGATGTCCCTGCATCTCGGAGTTATTGTTCACTCTGCGATGAAGCGTGTGTCCTGGATTTCACTGCTAGCCACTATTCATCTTTGATTATAATGTTTGTGAATTAAGACAATATCGAGGCAATACGCACAGTATGCACATATGCCAATAAGAGACTGATCAATTACTGTTCTAAACATCAATAGGAAGATTCAAGCAAACAATTCCAATTGAATTTGTATAAAAATGTTTTGAAAATGAGAAAACCTATAGGTTATGTTTAAATGTTATGATCGGCGGAGTTTGATCATATCTATGGTGACAATTAAACCAATGGTGACATTGATTGATGGTTAAAGTGTTAAATGCTGATCGTTGGGTCCTTACTCAATTTCTTTTAAGTACTACACAATGTGAGAGATCTAAAGGTCCACTGTTAGGTTTTTTGACGAGTCCTAGGTTAGGTTGAAAATTTTCTGTAGGATTTACTGGCTTTCAGCAGTTTTCTAAATAATGTCCTTATGAATATAAATTTAAGGTTAAATAACCATCAAACAACCTTTTAGCTTAGTAAAAAATCCTTAATGTAGTACGTTAGAAGTAGTATTCACTATGACGGTAGCTGGTGATACAGGGATGTTAAAACTCGTTTTTATGGAAAATCATTTCAGTGCACAACTTAGTTGATGGATGAACTGAGAAAATTTCGCGTATGATTAATATATATACATATTTTAAGGTATAACAGAACTAATTGAACATTCAATATTTATTAGCGACTCAATTCATCGAGGTCTGGGCCAGTAAGTGACGCTGTAATTCGTGTCGTGTATAGGAATTTACTCTTAATGGTGACATTAATTTTAAATTATCTGACTCCACTTGCTGAAAGTCAGCTCGGTGATATAAACATCAAAGAACTTGACGATTTTAATTTAAAACTTGAAATGCATTGTAGATTTGTAATGTCGACAACCATATATCATGCATATGGTAAACTAAGAGCTCAATAAAAATGAATGGTCTCTTCATTCAAGAATTTATTTTTCAATAACCTAGTGAATATAGTCTGAACTAACTCGAATCTGGCTACGTAGATCACTTTAATATTTAACTAAAATAAAAACCTAAATAGTAATTAAGGTATTTATACAATTGTTTTCTGCCTAATGTTTGTTATAGTATGGTGCATCCTACTTATGTCTGTCAACATAAGTAGTATGTAACACCAGTGGGAAGTGGAAAACCTGGCAAGAGAAGGCTAGGAAGATCGATTTGAAGAAGACAGAAAGAAAAATAAAAACGAATTTTGAATTGTAAAAATAATACAGAATGTGAAAGACAGTTGATGAAAGACTCGTAAATGAAGTATTTAATGTATGGTTCTTATAATTTAAGATATTCTGTAATTTTGTATTAAAAAGTAAATTGGTTGTCATTCCACTGAGTTTTATTTCACAACAATTGTAAGGGAGTTACTTTAACTACCTACCAAAGATCTTGCTGGTAATGATTAGCTCTTTATTTAAAAACTTGATTAAACAAATAATTACTGAATAGTGTTTGTCGCAAACATTAGTCATCAATCTGATCTGTGATTTATAGAATTCTTATTTTCCCTTCTATAATTCGCGTTAGTAAGCTATATCAACACATTAACATCTGTTAAAGAAAGCAGTTTGGTTTAATAATGCCAAAGTCTATTAAAAAGGTGAATGTAGTGTAATTCATTCTTTCAAGCTAGCTCAATATTTATTCTGTGTCAATTTAGTCAAACAATAAGGTTAATCTACAGTTAAATCTATAGGAAATTAAAGCAAATGTGACAGTTTGATTGAATGCATGTCTTCATCCTATTCTTCATCTATTCTATCATTGGTTATAAACACAGACCACACAACAACTTGCGTATTGATTTGCACTCATTAAAAAACACACGGAATTATACACACACATCCTTCCTAAGTCTACTTGCTTATCGCGTACTTGTCAATTAATAACAATAAACGCTTTTCCAACGCAGCTAATATTCTGGCTTCTGAATATTTTGAAGTGAATTCATAATGATACTTAGATAATAAACCTACTAAAAAAACACAGTTAACGGGTCATCACGTTTTGACGTTGGAGTGGAGGAAGTAACTCCTACAAACACAGTGGTTTATAGCTCAGTAAATCACCTTCAACTTCATATTACGGTGGCTAAGATTGTAGATTTTGAACTATAAGAGTTTATAACATAAAATAAGCTAAAGTAATGATTTCATTTTTCTGAAAAAAATCGCATTGACGAATTTGTTTGCAATACATTTAAGTGAAATACATAAAAACAGTATTCAATAAATTCAGAGTGTGATTTTTTTAAAATTTGCCACAAGATTACTTGTTTGTTTCTTATTTTATTACTCCGCCTTCTTTAGGTAATTTAGTAGTGATAGTGAGCTTGCTACCAGTATTAGGATTTAAAAGGCACCTAACTGAAAGTTTTAAATTTCATTCATGCATATTTTTGGGTTTACCAACATGTCCTGCTTAAAACCTCGACGAAAACAATGATAGTTCAAATATTTAAATTTCCTTCCAAAGATGTAACATTCAGAGATATCATTGTACATATATATAACTGTAAAACCTTTTCTATGATGTCGGGAAACATTGAAGGTTTCTTTTTTACATCCCTTTTACTTATATAACTGTATTATTTCCATTATATACAAAATATTCAATACTCAATAAATCTTAAATTATCAAGTCAAATACTAGCAGTAATATTTAGAAAGGTAGTTGTTTTCCTTACAGCCTGTCTTATAAAACGCGTTTCAACTTTTGAGAGGACACCATGTACTCTTTGACGTTATCACAGTGTTTCACCTTAGTTTTGCCAATGTAACAAGTAAAACAAGTAGTCACAAAATTTTCCTGTTTAAACATGAAATGTCATTGGTCAATTTTAAAATAACCAATAATCCATCTAATATTTTTGATTTGATATGTAACTTTTATTTACCCATTTTACAACGCATTTTCAAGAACATTACTGAGTGGTGAACTATAACTGGGTGGGAAATAATCAAAAATCATTCTTAAGGACATTAGTCTAAGGAAAAGTGAACTTTGTGCTTACGGTCATTTCTGCAGAAAGTATTTTATTGACATTAATTTCTGTACTTCTATAAAATATCCTGATCATCTTTAGGTGCATGACATATTATTATTCAGGAAATTATACTTTAATTTACAATCGTTAGTTTAGGCAAAAATAAAGTAGACAGATTAAGAATATTCAATGCTTGAATCTCCATACCGTTCAACCCAAGGTCGTAAAGCTGTTCGTACGTTAACTACCCCACTAAGTTTTAATAATTCTGAAAATATATGTGCCACAAATGAAAATCTATTGCGATACTGTTTGGATTCACCAACTACAACATCTCAACCAAATCTAAATGGTCGAGTATCGAGGTCAGATACAAGCTCTAGTAATGATCATATTGGTCGTAAATTATCTGTAAATGGAGTACATGAATTTAGAGACCGATCCCTTCCTGGTACAATTTCAAAACAAGAAGTTCATTCGGTATATAGTTTACATCAACATCGTAAAAACACATATATTCAAATTCAAGATCCTATAAATAGTGAAAATCGATCACCATCAAGGCAAACACGAAGAAAAGAAGTTATACGTTGTTGGAGTCGAGAAAGAGTTACAAGAAGTGAAACTATTTTAAGTATACGTCGACCTTCATCAAAACAAACTGAACAAAATATAGAAAGTAATAATTTATGCAAATCTCGACTTACTGCTTCAACATCGACCTTTAATACTTCTATTTTCTTACCGATTATAAATAAAAGTGAAAGTTTTTCATCACTACCAACTACAATACGTCATATTCCAATTCAATTAGCTGATAATCATCTAACTGATATACAACCAATAATTAATGATACATTAAAATCAATTCCAATTTCTAATCAATTTTCTGGAATTAAAAAACAAATTTCAAATAAACTACAAAATCTTACTTTCTCTCCTATTGAATATTCAGAGTATGTAGACAAGTAAGTTTTACAATCATAATTGTTTCAACTATACAATGCTGATCTTTTTATTTTATCTTTAAGTGTGTGTTAGTTGTTGCCATGGTTTATTATTGTTAACTAATTACATGAAGTAATCATATTAGAAAATAATTTCTTAAAACAAATTCCCATACTGGTTTTGATAAAACTGTAATTCATCAAATGATGATATTAAGTCTAATTATTATTGAACATCTATCTAATTTTGTACAAGTTTGTAGCAGCCTACCCATACATACAGTTTGAATGAATGATTTTCAATTCTTTTTAGTTGATCTATTTAATTTATACTTTAATGTGACATTAGATGATATCTCTTGCTTGAAAATGATCTACATTGAATGAAAATCATACCAGATGATCTACAGCATTTGTTTTTCCTAGAATGTTTAGGCCTACAATCCATATTCAATAATATATCTTTTTAAGACACACATGTAAACTAAAGGAAAATGATATTCAAACATAGTCATTGTCATCAGGGGCTTTTCTAAACATGCGACGTCATAGCCTTTTTGATTAAAAACTAACCTTTATTATTAATTGTATTATGCACACTAAATACTTCAGTGTCAGATTACATAATTCTTGATGGTAAACAATTTTATTTAGATGAAATTCATTACTTAAATTAATGATCATATTAAAAACTTGGTCGGTAGAACTAGAACAACAGTCGAGCTTAATTCATAATACTCATTACTATTTTGTAATTATTTATCACGATTGTTCACATAGAAATGAAAATATCTCAATTTCTTAAATCTAAATTTACTTGTTGATGCTTACTATCTATTAGTTTAAAGAAAACGTTTTGATCATGATTTTGTATAACATTGTAAGTATCAACTATTGTTCAGAAGCTCAATAGAGTTAACAATTGATTAAAGTCAACAAATTGATAGCTAACCTTTTGTTTTTAATAACAAGCACATATAAATTTAATTTTGAAATATTTTCTCAGGGTAAAGGACAGGACATATCCATCAGTTAATATCGGAAGGGGTGTTTTTGTTAATATTATAGTAATTCTAATAGTTGATAGGTTTTAGGTTCGAATCTCGCAAGGTGGGATTATGGATGCGCACCGCTGAGGAATCCCATAGTAAGAAAAAACGGCCGTCCAATGCTTCTAGATTTTCCATAGTGGTCTAGCTTCAATCGACTCATGATTTCAACTATTTAGAATATCCATCAATTCTTGGCATGATTGTACTAACTATCGAATAAAAATTAACATTTCAATGGATATTGTTCATGAATCCTATATGTAAAGTGGATTGATTTTGCATAGTAAAATATTTAAATTTGAACATTATAATGATAATCCAGAATTTGTCCTTTTCAGTTTGACGTATATTACGTATTCAGAATATTTCATGTAACATCAATATAAATATGTTCGTTTACAGTAATAATAAATCATTCTCATCATTACAAGTATCGTCATTATCTTGGTATTTTTTAGTCTCTGTTTCTTTGTTTGCCTTTTTTCTCTAAAAAAACAACATAGAAATTATAACCAGTCGTACAAACAAGACAAAATGCTATCCTTAAAAACTAGCTGATGGATAATGTAAATTCTTCTATTTTATTCTACAGTCTGAAATACTTGCTTCCAATTTTTCTCTTGTATTATCTTTTATTTCATATTATTGTATAGGAAAAGATAGAACAAACAATCAACGAGTTATTTAGTAAAATAGAAAAACCATACTGTAATACTTGATTTGCAAAATGTTTAATAATTGTCTCGAACTTCGTTATTTTTGCATTTCCATACTAATTACTTTCTATTCCCGCTCTTCCCTTCTTGATCTTCCCCATCTTCTGCTGCCAGATATAACATTCCTGACACGCATCATATACTACTTATATCAATATAAGTAGCACTCATCACATTAGGACTGTCTGAATAGTAATCATTATTATTACTATACTAAACTTGGTTAACTAGGCTGAAAAATAGTAGTTTCTCTATTACCTTCAATGTTGAAATAGTAATCATAAATGAATCATTAAAAACATCATTTGAAATGTGTAATATATATATATATATTTTTTGATAATAAAGTCAAGTTTAATAAAAGGATTAAAATTATCGGTTAACTTTCCGTATTTGAATCCGGACTGATTGTTCCTACTCATTAAAATAGATTACAAATTCTAACTTGAAGTAATTGAAGTAAACAAAATATCATTGAAATAAACTGCTCAATCTCTATTTTACTACAGAAGCTTTTTAATCATCTTGTTAGTCACTTACTATCTAATAAATTAAACATAAAGGCATGATTAAACACTAGCAATGGTTTGTCAATTGATAGAACAAAACTATCTAATAGACTTCCACTACTTACATTTTGAGCTAGTATATACTTCAGAAATTATTGAATTTGAAGTTGTAAAGAAATGGATTATTCAAAATATGCCATACTCTCTACTTGAAACCTTTTGGTTAATTATTTCTGTCTACTTTTAGAATATAAACATTGTAAGTATAAAGTTTCATTCTTTACATAACAAATTATTTAAATTAGCTAATTATTTAGTGAATTAATTTATTTTCAAAACAGCTTCGACAACTGAAGTTCCTTATTGAAGTTTCATTTTATTAATAAGAATTATGGTATAAATCAGTGAGATATTTCTAAACAAAATTAATTTTCTGAACCAAGTAATTAGAATGTATCAGAAGGAGTTTTGTGAAGATTGTAGTAATTCGAATAGTTGAGATCATGAGTGAATTGAAGCTAGACCATCATGGAAAACTTGGAAGCACTAGACGGCCGTTTCGTCGTATTGTGGGACTCCTCAACAGTGCTCACTAGTGACTGGCTTCAAGATGTATATCCTGGAGTTCTAGTGAGAAGCAGTGACCAGTGGAGTTCAACCGGGTCTGTTGTGAGATATTAATTCACTGATAACAATGGTGGTTGTGTCACTTAATTTCGTGAATTATTTGAAGTTAGACATTAACACCGTCGGATGCCGGCCAGCTCAGTGGCCTAGTGGTTAAGCGCTCCTGGGTTCCTGGGTTCGAATCTCGTAAGGTGGGGTCGTGGATGAGTACTGCTGAGTAGTTCCACAATAGGGCTAAACGACAGTTCAGTGATTCCATGTTTTCGATGGTGGTCTAGTTTTAATTGACTCATGATCTCAACTATTGAAATTATAATGTACTTAACCATCAAACAGTAAAGTAAGCATCAAATATTACTATTACTATTATGAATAAATTATATGCTTTACAAAAGAAAAAAATCAATTTTCGAATGAAGGTAATTATATATTTAGATGTAACAAAGATATGAACATCATTAAGTTCTAACACTGAATGACAAGGCAAAATTTAACACCCACTAATATACTAATAAATCTGTAATGTTTCATCACACTATAAAAGTTTACCATCTGTTGTGAATATTCACACCTTTCACAAATGTTAAATTTATTTTAACAAATAATTAATTCCATTTGTAAATATGATCATGTAATATCAAAAACCTTAGTCATTTGATCTATGATACAAAACTAACATTTGGATAGCTGTAATAAAGTTAGTTTTAACCTCATCAAAACTTGTCCATTCTAGTAACATTTATAAAAATAAAGTCATGTCAATGAATCTATTTCATGTGTATGGAAATTAAATAGTAGTCATTCACTATTATAATAAAATAATAATTGAACAAATAATTTCAAGCAATATAAATTAGTCTCTTTTTTTGTTAATTATTTATACATTTAGATTTTCGAATTATTTGATCCTAAAAATTATATATGTTGATCGGAATCATAAAATAACAACTAACAAACAAGCCATCACATTTACCCGGTGTATTTTTATACAAATCAAATGAAATTGATATCTGGTTATTAGTATTTGTTACTTTTCATCGATTCTATACTTATTGGCACGGATACGAAAAGCTCGTTTGGCTTTTGCCAACTTACGTCACCTATGGCGAAGGCGAGATATCTGTCTATCAATAAAAGGACGAGTATACTGCACGGCAGTCCGTTCTGTTTTAATTTACGGCAGCGAAACATAGCCATTAAGAGTAAGAGATACTCGTAAGCTACTAATATTTGACCACAGATGCCTTAGAAGTATTGTTAGCATCCTCTGGGAGCACCGGGTAAGTAATAGTGAGGTTAGACACAGGGTATTAGAGAAGGATAGTAAATCAGTTAATGGGTTTGTGAATCGTTATCGACTGAAATGGTTGGGCCAAGTGTTGCGTATGCCTGAACACCGATTACCACGACGCTCAATGTTGACTAGTGTTGGGGATGTTGAAAGAATGTTAGGGGCGGTCAAACCAAGACGTGGCATCAGTGCTTGAAGTCACTAATTTCCGATCTGAGCCGTGTTGTTAGGTGCAGGCTACTTGGTTGGAGACTGGTGGTAATATGGCTCAGAATCTATCACAATAGTGTTCTGACTGACTGACTTTATACTTATTTTTACCAAAAACTACAAGTTATTTAACTAGTGAATAGCAAAAGAGCTAAGTAAACATATGCGCTCATATACGTTGTTTGAAATTCTCTCTTAAAAAAATGAATCCTTTTCTCTGTTTTTATTAAATAACAAGGGATCGGAGATGAGGAAAAAAGTATAGAAACTAACTAATTAATAAGAAATATAAATGATTACTAGTATATTGTATACCATATTTAGTGAAAGTTACTATTATGTAAAAGCAAACATTGCAATAAGTGGAAAAGACTAAAACCAATGTCATATTTCTATGTATATTTGAGTGCATAAATAATATTTATGTTTTTTGATAGAAGAAGACGTTTTTTATTCTATTTTGTTAATTAACGTTGCATGCGTAAAAAAATTACAGTGTATCTACTTAGCTTCAAATTATATAACTCAAAATAAAATCGTATTCAGTTATGTCTAGAAGAAAGTGAATACAGTGATGAACTAGCACAATTATTTTTCTGATAAAAATATTTAAAAA